AATCTCATGGTTTTGACTATTAATCCCAAACCCGCCCTGCTCAGAGAACATCTTCTTTTTATACATTCACTTTAGAGCTGGAAGTGACCTTAGAGATTATATCATCTACTCCTTCATTTTACCACAGAGGAAGCTGAAACTTAGGGAAGTAAAGTGGGTTTCCCAAAGTCACATAGCTAGAGAGGGCCTAGTGATTGGTGGCAGAGAAGACACAGACTCTTCAGTCACTCAGTCTCAAGGTGTTCTATGCATCCTGTCAGTCTGAGCGGGTGATTTTTCAATTTGATTAGGGACTGACAATGGCCCAAACCCTGTAATTTTCAGTTTGACTGGAGCAGCTCTTCAATTTGATCAAGAACTTCTAAGACCCCCATCCCTAATCCCTTACCTTATATCTATAAAGTGCTTTGCAAATATTAAAGCACAATGCAAGTAAGAGCTTGGCTGATCTTCAAGTTCACATTCCCACATTTCTACTTTGATCTAGGGCCATACACTTTCTTGAGCTATTCATTTATAAATCACAAAGGAGTCTAGTGGAAACAGCACCGTCCTGGGCTAGAAAAGTAATTTGAGACTACTCTTTAGGGGCTTAGTTCTGGAGGAATTGTTTTTGATTCCCTTACCAATTTCTTCCGAAGTGCAACAAGGAGGAAAATGGGATCTCTTCCCACCACCAGCAGCAGTAACTATTACTGCAGAGGCAAACGATAATGGGAGACAAGTGTTCACCGGCAGACGCAGAGGGTCGTTCAAGGATACTCTTCCTAAACCTCAAACTTCTGTAGGAAAGGGGAAGGATTTGAAATCCCTTGGCAGCATGATCTCAAAATTGAGCCCTCTAACAGAGGAAAAAGATGCTCTAGGCAGCATCAGCACCAGCATCAGCTTGGAGAGTTGGCTTATGGTAACACCAAATTAAAATGTTTGTTTGGGCAATGGACTTTCTGGGGATAATATTTTCTGATGCATTCTCTGTCTTTAAGAATGGAGAATACAATCCACATGGTTCTTTTGTAGCATCCTACTGGGAGAGTAAAGAGAGTTATTCAAACAGGGCACATCCAATTAGAAAGTGCTACTTGTTCAGAAAGCTCCAAAGCACGTTTACCTTTGAAGGATATCTAAACCACAGGGTTTAAGCACCGCTCTCAGGGAGACTGTGTAGGACTCTGTGAATGATAGAGGGTCACTCAGACAACATCCTCAAGTGCAATTCCTTTCCAGGGTACCATTGCTGGACCATTTGAGCAGTTTATGCTTCTATAATTCTTCATGGGCTCCTATTATTAGTTATTGTCCAATCTGGATTTAATAAAGTTTGTCCCAAATTCGACATATATGCTGAGTGCTTGTGCAGGATCCTGTCATGCATATCTGAGTACACCCAAGACACTAATTTTTATTGGAAACTTTCTTGGATTAATTTAACTGATGACAACTCTCCAAAGAAAGAGAACCTGACCATTTGAAGTCAAGCCTGAATACTGAACCCCTGGTCTGTTTACACCCAGTGTTCTTGGGGAGCCCTAGGATAAACATCTGTTAAGCCTCATGACAATCTTGTGAGGAAGAAACAATAGATATTGTTCTCTCATTTTACACAAGGTAACCTAAACTTAGATAGGTAATATGGCTTGCCATCATCACATAGTTAGCTAGTAAATATCTGATGGGGCATTCCAACCCAGGCCATCCTGACCTGAAACACTATACTATGTCCATTACATTATACTTCCTCATTCATTAACATTTTTTTTCCTCTCCAAACCATGAAGAACACGTTAAGGCAGACCTTTTAACTAATGTTGCCAGGCATATCTGACTTGTCCAATGGAAGTATGATCTGGAAGCCATAAAGAAAAAGGTTCCACATGACTCTGAGGCACACTAGCAATTCTAGGCAAAATGATTTCTCTGAAATTAGTGTGTTGTAGGATTATGTCTCTTATTTTAAAATATCTCTTCTGACAGCGTTGATTTACTGAAGGCAGACTCATTTAATTAAGATGGATATTATTAGAATAAAATGGGACGTTACATGTGTATATGTATGTGTATGAGTGTGTACATGTATGTGAACCTGGGCAAGTCCCTTAACTCTGTTTACCTCAGTCTGTAAACATGAACTGGAGAAGGAAATGCTTTGCCATTTGCCAGTATCTTTGCAAGAAAACCCCAAGTGGGGTCAACACAACTAATCAACCAAAAAAAAGTGAGTATTTTTTTTTGGAGAGGAAGGAAAACTACATACAATAAACTTTATATTATACTTCCTAATGGAGGTGGTCAGCTGTATGGTTCATGGAAAGAACATTGTATTAAGAATCACAAGACCTGGGTTCACGCCCCAGCTCTGATAGTTCTACTTGTGCAGACTTATGCTAAAACCTCTCTAAATGTCTCTAGACCATATTTTCAGCATCTTTAAAAATAAGCTAACCAACTAGATGACTTTTAAGGTTACATGGCTGTAAATCCATGATCCTCCAAACCCTAAATAATTTTAATTTACATAATCTTTTTTTTTTTTTTGGAAAAGAATGTCTTCTAAATTTCTGTTCAGCTTGAGGTAAATGGCATCTATACAGCTGTTTGGGCAGCTACATGATGCAGCAGATAGAGCATCAGACCTAGAATCAGAAAGCCTCATCTTCCCTGAGTTGATATCTGGCCTCAAACCCTTATTAGCTATATGACCCTAGACAAGTCACTTAACCCTGTTTGTCTCAGTTTCCTTGTCTGTAAAATGAGCTAGAGAAGGAAATGGCGAACTTCTCCAGTATCTCTGCCAAGAAAACTTCCAATGGAATCATAAAGAGTTGGCCATGACCACAATGACTAAATAACAACAAACAGCTCTTTAGAGTCTGTAACATGCTTTGTATATATTATCTCATCCCCTTCTCACAATGGCCTTATGAGATAATTACCATTGGTATCCCTCTTACAGATGAGGAAAATGAGACTAAATGGAGGTGGAGCAACTTGCCCATGGTCATGCAGAAAGTACCAGAAATGGGATTCGACCTCTGCTCTTCCTCATTCTGGGTTCCACACTTTATTCCCAATAACTGTTATAATAAATTTCCAATACCAACTCTCCTCATTGGGGGAGTTAGAGATGAGGAGGCACTTAGAGGTGTCACTGGGTGTTAAGTGAATGTTGGGGCAGCTAGATGGTGCAGTGGATAGAACACTGGCCCTAAAGTCTGGAGGACCTGAGTTCAAATCTAGCCTCAGACCAAACACTTGACACTTACTAGCTGTGTGACCCTGGGCAAGTCACTAAACCCCAATTGCCTAAAAATAAAAAAAGAGAATGTCACTCCTAAGATTAAAGCTTTGATTATATTCCTAAATTTTATATGAACATACCTAATTGGCCCACACAGATGCCAGAATGCTGATGATATTTGTTTAAAATACATTTTTGTATCATATCAAATTTTAATAATCTTCATCTTGGTCAAATGAAGTAGCACTAATGTTTGATCAGGGAAGCTAGGTAGTGCAGCAGGTAGAATTCCAGGCCTGGAGTTAGGAAGATCTAAGTTCAAATCCATCCTCAGACATTTACTAGTTGTGTCATCCTGGGCAAGTCACCTTTGCCTCAGTTTCCTCATCTATAAAATGAGGACACACAGGAACAGGAAATGGCAAACTAGTATCTTTGCTGAGAAAATCCTGTGGACATTGTCCTTTGGGTTGCATTGAATCATATGTGACATAAAAACAACAAAAATGTTTTGATCTAAATATAGGTCATCCCTGGATATAGGCCATACTCCTAAAAGGAGAGCTAAAAATATGGAGGTCAGCTAAAAATAACTTTGTAAAATTTTCATATGAAATATAATTTACTGTTTTTAGACATTTCCTTCAACTCAAAGTCATTCTTTTTAAGATCATCACTGGTCTCTAAATTTACCACTTTTACTGTCCCTTTCTTCTCTACTTCTCATAGTATGAGCACAATGATCATTTACACTCAGATTTTTTGCATAAACAGGATTGGGGGAAAGAAAAAAATGTAGACGCTATTTGGACTAATATGCTATTAATTAAGTTGATCATAGTACATAGAAATACACATGGAAGGGACCGTAGAGACTATCTCAACCACCTCGTTTTACCGATCAGGAAATTAAGACAATGGGAAGTTAAGGACTTGTCAAAGATCACAGAGATAGCAAGCATCAGAGGTGGGATTGGGACAAGTAGGTGGCTCAGTGGATAGATTGCTAGGCCTGGAGTCAGGAAGGCTTAGTCTTCTTCAGTTCAAATCTAGCCTCATACATTTACTGGCTGTGTGACCCTGGACAAGTCACTGATCCCTGTTTGTCTCAGTTTCCTCATCTTTAAAATGAGCTGGAGAAGGAAATGGCAAACCACTGCAGTATCTTTGCCAAGAAAACCTCAAATGGGGTCATGAAGAGTCAGACACAACTGAACTGACCAAACAAGACCAAAAGGTGGGATTGGAAACCAGATCTTCTGATCCAAAGTCAGTTCTCTTTCCCCTATATTATGCTTCTTCTTCAGATATAGTTCAGAAGGCAAATGCTTGGGGCAAAGAACATTAAATTTAGAATGCTTTCCCAACAGCTCACCATGAACCCTCCTGGTCAAAAAAAGAGTTCTGTACCTATTTTGAAATTAATTGGTGTCTTAATCTCAAGTCTACTATCATTGACCTTCCCATTTCCATCTATAATTCAGAAAAAGAGCAGCCTCCCTTGTCTCTTTATTGATTTTAAAGAAACAAAAGTCCTCTCATGCAAGGAAGCCTGAATCCCGATGAGGGAGGTATTCATCTTTAATCAAAACATTTATTTTATTTGGCACATCTGGATCCGATGCAGCAATTTCAACTAATTTTTCATTAAAAGACTGTTTCTAGCACGCAGTTGAGATTCTGAGCAGACATTTAATAAACAACATAGGAGAATATACAGAAAAGGGTAGCAAGAAAATGAGTAAAACATAAAGCAACAACATTGTATGTTCATGAAAGTTTTAATACTCATTTGACTAAAAGATGCAGAATAATGACTATTGAATCTCCATTCATCAGTAGCCAACAAGATGTGAATGAGTTATTAAGTTCAAATCAAAATGGATTTGAATCATCCAACTGTGCACTTAAAAAATAATTATAAATCATTTTTAAAGAAAAATTCATGGAGAAAGTGAGAGTGACTAGAAAACGTGATGGGATGCTTTTAAACAAAATAAATTCAAGTATTGTTTTTGTAAAATTCCTCAGCTACTAGTCTTTGAATTTTGTTTGTGCAATACCCATCTTTGCATAGTAAAGAAAACTTGGTAAAACTCCAGAGTTCTATGTGGTTCTTGATTCTTAACATGCACCTATATGTTCTGTTCATTTGTCTAGTAGGGTTAGCTTTTATTCAGTGGAATCATGCAGCAAACCAGTATGAGCAACATCTTTAGCACACATCTTGTCATCCCAATGTCGTCAATTAGTGCAGCAAAAGTAGAGCAGGTGAAATGGGAACTCATCAGCACTGAACGCTTATCCTTGTTGAGTAATATTAGAAAGTGATGGGCTTGTGTGATGGGCCCAAATTAATAGAAGATACACCCCCACAACATTAAGCAACAGAACAGCATGTACAAAGTCAAACGATATGTCGTGAAAGGGTAGAAATTCTATATCCCAACACCACTGGAAAGGTGATTCTTACGATCAATTTTACATTTTTTTCTTTTCTGTTTTAACCCTGTGGGGTGTTTGGTTGCCTTTGTTATTCAATGCAGACACAGCGTGAAGCTTGTGTAGTTTACACATATGTGCAAGTAATTGAACACTGGAGCATTAGGTTCCTATCACCTACAAAACTACCAGTGTAACAAAAAGTTACACGGACACTGGCCATATGTACATAATATTGGGGACCACTGTGGTCTGATTTAAATATAACATCGCACATACACAATGTTGTTTGAGAATTGCTCAAAAATGGAAACGGGATAGACTGAACTTGTTTACGAATAGCAAATGGTGTTTCTCTAGAGTCACCATGTTATCTCTGGAACAGAAGCAAAATGTGTATCATTTACATAGCGACAGCTTAGTGTCTGCCAGGGGGTGGGCATCATCCCGTAACAGGGAGGCACTAAGCAATGCAGCAACAGCAAAAAGTCCAAGTACTCTGAGTTTCCCCCAACCCGAAAGAGCCCACTTCTACAACACACGGATATAACCTTGCGTCTTATGAAGGCTAATCAGCCTCTTTTGGAGCCCTGTTATTACAAAAACCTCGCTCTTATTTCTAGAGAGAGACTGCACATGTATGTAGCACCTATTACTCATAAATAACAATATCAAGATGTTAGAGTATGGTCTGCTTTCGCATTTAAAAAATAAAGGTTGCTGCTGTATGAGCCAGTGGAATGGCATTTCCTTTTGGGCAGGGACTCTTTTTTGTTTCCTCAAACAGTGGTTTATGTATTGTCTCCCCCATCACATCACGAGCTCCTAGAGGGCAGGCAGCATTTTGCTCTTTCTTTGTATGCCCAATGCCTGGAACACAGTTGGAATTAAAATAATGCTTGTTTTCTTGACTTGTCTCTATATCCCTAATGCCTAGCCCAGAGTCTTGCACACAGCAGGTGCTAAATAAATGCTTGTTGCTTTGGATGAGATACCACTATGATTAAATATACCCTGTAAAGTTCAGTTTTTCAAACTAAAAGTAACAGCAACAAAAAAAGTTCTTACAGATGGCATTTTCCAAAGCCAAAGGAAAACAGGTGGCAATTATTGTCATTGCACTTATTTTCTTTCAAGGAAAGGACTTTGAGCAAAACTTCAAAACCAGTCCAGTAGCAAAAGCAAGTTGAATGGCACATTGTTTTTCTCCAAAGGAGTGGATATTGTTGGCTCTTTTTGAACCTTTTTTTGAAGATGGCTTTAACCTGTGACCCTCTCCTGCAGAGCTCTTCTTTAGCTGGCTATCAAAATGCCCACCTAGGAGGGTTCCTCCAGAACAAAATCTGTTCAAAACTTAGTGGTGATAGCTAACACTTAAACAGAAGTTATCCTGACAAGAAATGGGAAGGAGTCCATGATGTTGAAGGAAACTCAGAGTGACTTGCATGCACAGGTTATCTCTGAAATTCTGCCTAGAGGGAAGAGTACGGTGTGAATTAAGATACAGTAAAATCCTGTTATAATTGCACAGTATTACATGGATTGGGGTTTAATGTGAGTCAAGTTGTATTCCCCCAAACACAACCACATACAGTAAAAGCCTGATATAACGATGTTAACAAAGGAGGCAAGTGTCGGTGTTGTTTTCCCAGTAATGGTTCTATAAGAGATTCCCCAATGAGGGAGAGACAGAGTGAACATGAATGGAAGATTGACAAGAATATTTATATATGTATATATGTATGTATACTACTAAAAAGGAAAGCTTAGCTTTCCACAAGTTTTGGGCAATTGTGATTATAATTTAAGGCTTCATTTAAGCTTGTTTTCCTTTCACATGAGAAAGAGGGAAAGAAAATTATTAAAACCAAATATTAAAATCATGAACTTGGCACTTTTGTGATTAATTTGAGAAGGTGTCTACTTTCTTACATTATATACACAAATTTTGCATGACATCAAAAATTCTAGAGAGACTTGTAGTTATTACATACATTTGCATTTACATATCTAGTTTAATGTGGATATTTTGTTATTGTAGTTTTTTTGGTTTTGAGCATACAAACATTAAACCACACCTGTTCCATGCCCAAACTCCTTGCATCTGCAAGTTATTGCAGAAAACTTGAGCAAGCCCAACACCCACCAAGCAACATGGTACCAAAAAGAAAAAGTGAGGAGCAAAAAAACCTGCAATAAATCAATTTACAGAGAGCCTTTACAAGGAATCTTTCAATAGACACTAGTGAAAATGAGGTCAAAAATTCTTATTTCCATTATTTACATTTTTAAAAGAAATATACATTAGCATCATCATCCAGACAATAGCTCCCATATTCAAAGGGCCTTTGGTCCAGGTCAGAAAACAATGGTGACTCAACAAAAGGAGGAAGCTACAGAGTTAAAAGAAACAGACAGACAAATACAGACAGAAACAGAGAGAGATAGAAAAAGAGATGGAGAGACAGGGAGAGAGAGACAGAGAGACAGAGAGCGCAGAAGAGCACTAGATATAGTTGATGAAGGAGGTTCCTACATGAAATGCGCCCCGTATCATCTTCTCTGAGTTCACATGTTCTCGTCGCTTTATGAATTCAGTTGCAGGTTTTGCTGAGGATTGGCTTGTGAGCTTGTTGTATATACGCCATGCAGTTTATACCCTTTCAAAATTAGTTCTTCATGCCGCTGGAGTTGTCATCAATATGAAAAGAAAAAAAAAAGTCATGCCACTTGTTTCGAGGATTCTGAATGTCAGCAGGCTGAGAGGGGAAAAAAATCATCTGCTGTTTTATTTTTGTGAAATGGTCCTTTTATTGCACATGATTTGGTTTTGCCCCTTCTTCCTTCCATTTAGAAAAAAACAAAAACAAAAACAAAAACAAAACAAAACCACAAACATATTCTGAAAGTTTTTTTTTCCCTTCTAATGCCTGGATTGTCTTTTCCCCTCCCTTTGATGACAAGGTGTAGGGAAGGGATCAGTATTTGAACTTATTTCCAAAAAGGACAGTTTTCTTTTCCCTCATCCCCTCACCCCACCTCTAGTTTTCTGGTCATCATTCAGGGTTTTTCTTTATCGACTTAGCAGTTCCTGCATACTGGCTGCAAGGACTTCATACCCAGAATTCCAAAGTACAAGGGGAAGACTTGTACAGTGCTGTGGCTTCAGATGGGGCCTTGCTGACTCGGATCAAACCTTCTCTTTTTGACATTTCTTCCAGAGTGTGTCAAAAGAAGACGGAGGCAGGAAAAAAAAACACACACAATATTAATCAGACCACAGTGGACTAACAGCAGTAATAATGATAATGATAATAACAAATGTTAGGTCCAGAGTAAAGTAATCAACTCACACTGAGGCAGAGACTCCAAATTCACTCTGAATCGAGATGGAAAATCGTCAATATTTATAAATCTAGAGAATGTTCGCCAATATGAATTCTGGGTAGCCAAATGTCCCTCCCACTTTCTCATACTAAATCAAAGGAAGCCTCCATGGCCTCCTCTGTCATGTAGGAACAGCATGGCCAATATGGAACCCTAAATAGCAGAAAGTCTCACAGGACTGGGTATTCCCATTGGACATTTTGCTTACTGCATAACGGGACATCTGAGGCTACAAGAGCTAGTTGGAATGTTTAGGATCTTGTAGCAACCCTCTCATTGTCACTTTACTTGCTTAGATGCCCACAGGAAAGGCAATAAGTGGCTTGTTGCCCAGTACAATCATTTCAGTGCCTCAGTGTTATGAGCTCTTACCACCTCATGGAACCAAATGCGAAAGCATTTTTTTTATTCTTTAATAAGGAAGTAGAGTGTATAGTAAGACTGAGCACTCAAAGGAGAATGGACACAGACTCAGGTTAGTTGAGCAAGTGCAGAAGGTTAGTGCGTATCAGAGTCAGCAAGTAAAAAGCCTTGAGCACAGTGTCCAATCTCCTAGAAAGTGACCCCTAAGCCAATAAGACAGCAAGACACTACAAGGCAACGACAAAAGGTTGGGTGCAACCTCCTCATAATCTGGCTTTATGTGGGGCATCAAGCAAGGGGTTCATGCATTTAATCAGAATATTGGGTATGTATGTCACTCCCACCACCAAGTTATCATGCAACCAGAGATTGTTTGTTCCTAGACCCAGGATTTACTCTTTCTTACACACACATAAAAACTTTTTTATCTAGTATTAAATTAATTAATATATCTTGAACCAATGTACTCCAAAACAGACAGTACTTAAGTTAAAGCAGGAAAAGAGATAAGACCAAAAGTCTAGCTCCCTAAGTCAAGTCTTTCAACGCAATGGTCTATAGTGGGTGGCCCATACCACCTTCAGGAATACAACTCCTAAACTGTGATACTATCTTGTTAGTAAGTATTTTAAAGAAAAATAAGAACAATGTATTAACCAAAACCTGCAATATAAACTATCTAGCCAGGTGGGCAGAAGTAACTCAGAACAGAGGAAAACAAAATATCAGTTGTCATTTGGAATGAATGTGGGAGAAAGAACAATCATATTATTGACAAATATTGATAATCTTATACACGTAATATACTCAAGCCAAATATCCTAAATTTCCCTAATCTACTAAATGTAAGAATCACGACTATGTTTAAGAGTCTACATCCTATGAATTTTCCCAGTATACTGCCTATAAAAATCACAGCCACATCTAAAATAGCAGAGGTATTCCTCTTCACATTTAAAGGGAAAGATGGCAAAACTCATTCCTGGCTATCCTAAAACTTAGGATTGCTATTTACTAATTTTATCATCTTGGGCAAATCATTTAGTATCTTTGAGCCTGAGCCTCCTCAGCTATCAAATATAGGTTGGACTAGATATCTAAAAGTCCTTTCTAGCTCTGCATTCTATGCTTTTATAACTGGACTGTATTAGAAAAGTTTGTTTCTAAATCAATCTATAGGAAAATGCATGAGGAGTTTCAGGGTTACCCAGGGGGTCAAGTTCTTAGGCCAGCCTGTTTAGTTCACTATATACCTGATCTCATCTGTATCAATGGGAGCACAGAACCTAACCACCACATTCAACAATGTTTCTGTAGGAAAATATATCCATAATTCCAAATTGAGAACGCAGGAACTTGTCCATATAGGGGGGAAAGCATTGAATTGAGAGTCAAGAGGACTACAATCTGTCACTTATTCCTTGTGTTATTTTGGGCAAGTCCCTTAATCTCCCTGCGCCTCCCTGCCCTCATCTGTAAAATAAGAAGGTTGGAACTAGATGACCTCTAAAATCCCTTTTAACTCTAAATCTATGATCTCATGATCTTCTGTACCTTCCCATCTGCTTTTTACCCTCTCTTCAATCCTAGCAGTACTTCCTACTCCCTGACCGTCCAACCTGCTGGGCATTAAGAATAGGAGGTCCCTCCTGCAGCCTGAAGCAGTAATTCTAGGCATAGAGGCGAGCAGACAGAGGGTAGGAGACAGGAAGATGGAGGCTCTAGTTGTGGAAAATGGGATGAAGAGTAGAATGGCAACTTGGGTGAGGAGTAAGGAATAGGGAGAGTTAAAGGGGAGCCAGCAGTGGGGTTTTGGATAGTGAGAACTAGCAATTAATAAGGCTCTTCTATCCCTTCTCCCCAAAACCCATCCATGTCCCCATAGAACCCTATCATCCAGCATTAGGGTAAATGCAGAGGTTGAAGGCTCACATAGATAGGGAGAAAGGGTGGTAGTGAAGTCCCAGGGACTGGGGGAAATAGGAGGAGGGATCTGAACCTCTGAAGGGGGGATGGGGCAGAGAAATACTCTGAACAATAAGTAAGAAAGGTTTCTGTGGTTGTGCTGGGTAAGGGACTTAAAGACAATCATGATATCAAAGGATTTAGAGCTGGAAGGCTCTTAGAGGTCATCTGGTTCAACCTCCATGTTTTGTAGATGAGAACCAGAGAGTAAATGACTTGCCCAAAGTCTCACCGTAAGTAAATACAGAGCTGGGGTTTGAACCTAGGTCTTGACTCTAAATCCAGCAGTCTTTCCACTAAACCACACTTGGGGATTTCTATGTCAGGGCTGGTTTGTAACTATACTTCTCCCAATGAAGTCATCTGGTACAGTTTAGTGTGAAACCATAAGCACTGGAGCTTCCACCTAGATAATTTCCTTCCACAACTTTCCTGCTGTGACTGTTCCATTTCCTTCCAATAGGGAGCTGTCTGCTCTCTACTAACCCGGGCACATTAGGTGTCACACAAGGATGGATGGTATGATGGATATCAGTCTGCACCTTCATACCCTGTAATTCATTCATTGCTCAGTCTTCCTAAAATACCAGCCTAGAGGAGAGGCATGAAGTTACCTGTCCCTATTTTTCACTAACTTCTATGAGCAAAGGCAGCTGGTATGGTGGAAATGGGTATTAGGTTTGGAACAAGAAGACCCGGGTGGACTGTACCTCTCTGACCTTCAGTTTTCGTCTCTATAAAAGGGGATAATGATACTTAGACTATCTACCATACAGGACTTGAGTGGTCAAAATTATTTATAAATCTTCAAGTGCTACATTAATGTGAGCTATTATTTTTGTCTATAGCAAAATAAAACCCATCCCTATACCCTCACCCATTGCTAGTACATTCTTCAAACTACAAAACGAAAGGCACTAGGTCCTAATCTCAGATACATATTAGTTTATTGTTCTTCATTTCTTGGTCAATGAGCAATTTGGGGCAGGAAGGTAAATATGATTAATCAAAAACATCATAAATGGGGGAGGAAACAAATAATTTTAACGCCAAACTGAAAGTCCCAGGAATCTCTTCAGTTTCTTGCAAAAGGGAATTATTTAACATAAGCTTTTCAGTCAGTCCTACATCACTCTGGAGGTTTTTGGTAGCTACTAAGTCTCACAGGCTATCAGATGGACAGTTGTGTATTTTCCTGGAGATTCATGAGTGCTTGTCCCTTTTCTCCTATAGTCAGAGGATCGGAGATAAGGAAGCAGATTGCTGGATACTCCATAGAGAATAATTCTTCTTTGGAGCTGTAAATATAGACTAGAAAAGAATACAATTGGTGAGGAGTAGGTTCTTTTCATAGTCCAGCTTCTCAGAAGTTTTTATGCATGAGAGGCATCATTCATCCCTCTCCTCCTCCCATCCCTTCCTCCCCAAGAGTCTCTAAAAATGGCCTGAAACCCCAGAAGAGGTCCTAGAATTATTCCTATCCCCAAGAAATCCTGAAAATCTCACAAGTTGGTCTGGGCCAGAATCAGAACCAGCCCTCATCTTCACTTCTATTTCTAATCTACTGGCTTCCCATATCCACTGTAGACAAAGGCAATCATTCAGGGTGTTTCCTAATGTACCGTTAGACCCCAAGTATGAAGACAGCATTAAATCTTCCAGGCCAGTGTCATTCTATAGGAGTAGTGCCATGGTGGTTAGAAAAACTCCCTTGACTGCTAAATATCCCCAGAGAAGCAATGGTGGGAGGGGGCTAGTTCATTAGCTATCCCTGGGATTGGAAATGAAATTCAAAAAAAAATGTGGGGATTGGTGATGATTGGTCTCATTTGCTCAGAATAATGAAGCGTACCATCATCCAAGATTCAAAAAGAAAAATGTATTTAATCTCCTGAGAAAATTCAATTAGCAATAAGTTTCTACATATTTTAACTGCTAACCTGTTTTCTGTTATTATCTCATAGAGTGTGCAAAACACTTAGTATTATTCCATAGATACTAATTCTAAAATTCATGTTTTAGCTGAACTCATTAACAATTTGTCTCTTAGTTCCACGAAATAAAACACGAGCCAAAGTAGGCCCACACATACTGGAACTATAGTCTGATTGTATTTGACGGCATCCTTCACCTGGCCTGTAGCATGGAAACATATACTATCAAGAAGCTAAAGTCAGAAATACTCATTTCAGTATAATTGCTCAAGTGAACATCTTTTAAACTCATAAATGGCTACAAAAGGCCACTGGCAATTGATTCTGAAAGTGTACCACATGGAGAGGAACCATAAGACAGTTGATTGCATCCTGAATGGCATGGCTCTACCAACATAGTGGCTGAAGAACATTATGAAATACCATGGCTCACTTATGATTCTGGTTTTGCTAATAAGCCACTTAACCATTGTAATCTTTCCTTCTCAACTGCCAACTAGGCTTTTTCTTCCTTTCTACCAATACTACTAGTCTACACATCAATCCACCTCCATCAATTTCTTTT